ATACTTGATGGTATACTTGCAGACATTGCTGCTTTTTTCTCAGTCCTTCAGAAGATTTCTACTTCATTTTTAATGGATGATGTCGAATAGTAGATTGACTTCGAATTAGTGACATTTTTCACTTACATGATACATCATTGGGTACAGGGACATAATATCATGTGAACCTTTATGTAAAGGTCCATGGTCCATCAGTTATGGACACAGGTTAAGATAATTTCAAATGCAGGAGGCAACTAAGCACACTGCGAGGAAATCTTTACTTAATTCTGTTTTCCATAATTTCAGTGTTCACCAAATAGTTGTTTTCATTGGTTTTTCCTTACATTGGTGGAATGCCTACAAGCAGAATCCATACCAAATGCACCACTTTTCAGCTGCTTGATCAATATATTCTCTTTGGCATTTCTTTTGTTAAAATCTCTGTAGAAATAATTTGAAGAAAATTATGTTGGTGACCCTCTGATATTTTTGAACCTCCTGAAAATACTTTTCCTGATAATTTTCAGGTGGTTGAAGCAGCCTTGCATTCACGGATTCAACGACTGGAGCAGAGATTATGGGATCTAGAACCTCGTGTGAGTAAGGAACATAGTGAGCATATGTTTATCTTTCTTTTCACCAATCCCTTGCCTCAATGATGTTTTTCTTAAAGCCTGTGCTCATATTCAGTTGTTGCACTTTGTTGAAGTCACTCATTACAAAAAAAAAAAAAAAAAAAAAAAAAAAAAATCTTCTATTTCTGTAGGTGCAGGATTTACTTGAGGTTTTGCCTAATAGATTGACTGCAGATGTATTAGAGCAACTCCGGATGAGCAAACAGTCTTTGGTAGGCCATTTAACCTCATAGCTAATTTCACAATCACAATACATATGAGATTTAAAAAATTATTTTTCCTCCTTTTTTGGGCACTCCTTTATGTGAAGGTTGAACTGGGTTCTAAAGCTGGTTCCCTTAGACAAATGCTACTTGATATTCTTGAGGATACCCATGAAATACGCCTCATCTGTATCATGGGAAGAAACTGCACCCTCAAGAAAGAAAATGATGAAATGGAATGTGCTGTTTCCTTTGACAAGCAGATTGCCGAGGGTAAGTTGGTTATTGATTTTCTAATTACTGCTAATAACACTTGCTACTGGATAGAGGCAACTAATCAACTGATTAATTTAAATGCCTAATGCTAACATTTAATCATGTACTTTGCAGAGGAAGAGGAAGAAATTGAAATGCTTTTGGAAAACTATCTACAAAGGTTATTACTAGGTTCCATTTCAAATTTATGCAAGTGCTTTGATTTTTGGCTAGTAACCAATAATTATGTGCACATGTGTACATACAACAGAAACCGGGTTTAGTCCTAATAATTTTTACACATTTCCAATTCTTCTATTGTATCTTATCAATGATGTGAAATGTTCGTAACTAACAACTCCCCTTCTGTAAAAGAAGTGATAGAGGAGGTGAGATTTGAACCCCTATCAAATGTCTGGAAAGAGTCTTGGCCTACCAAAATCTCCTACCCATCAAAGTTAATCTTGCTAATGATGTATATACTTGTTCGTAATGTCCATCCTTTGTAAACTGAAACACAGATCTTTTAGATAGTTTCATCTTTGGCATATTACATTTCATTTTAGGCTCAAAACAAACACTGGCTAAAGGCTGTAAAATTATACGGAGTAGTATATATCAAACTAATTGTTTATGGCAAGTATTGTCTATTACTTTGTCTTACATTGCAAAATAGATATTATGAACTGCCAGTCTACCACTGTGTCTCATCTATATTCTCGTTAACCTGACTAGCTTCTTGCAAATGCAGATGCGAATCTTGTCATGGTCAAGCAGAAAGGCTCCTTGATTCTGCAAAAGAAATGGAAGACTCAATTGCTGTTAACCTAAGGTTCGTATACCTTTGCCTTCCCTGATTTCTTTGATTGTAGAGATAACAAAAATTGTAACTGCAGATAGAGAAATGGAACACTCAAAAGAAATAGAACACTTGAACTAATTTACTGCAATTTCTTTTTCCTTATCAGTTCCCGTAGGCTTGAGGTAAGCAGAGTGGAACTACTTCTGCAAGTTGGGACATTTTGTGTTGCTGTTGGTGCTCTGGTAGCAGGTAGATAAGTGCTTTTGTATCTTTTTTATGATGAAAATTTGTATATGTGGTGGATTGAGACAACCTCTTACTAATATTTGTTCACAAAACTAAACAACTAAAAGTCTAAAATGGCTTCACTTAAATAGATAAATGGACACACATTCTTAATTTCTACTTTCAATCATAAAAGAAATGAATTGTTAAATTAAAGTGAAAAGGGTCAAATAGGACCTCCAATTATACACCAAAATACAATTAAACCCCGAACAAAAAAAAAAACATGTTCCAATTGAACCCATAAACTTGTTAAAACAATGCAATTGACCCATTTTGACCTATAATAGCATGTTAACACGAAGTCACCCGCCATGTAGGATCCCACATAGGTTTTTTCCTCTAGCTAATGCCCTAATACCTTGGGTGCAGGTATATTTGGAATGAATTTGAAGTCTTACCTTGAAGAACATATGGTATGTAACCCCAACCTCCAATCTCAAGGGAAATTGGTATTATTTCAAATGTGAATGTTTTTCATCTCTCTAAATCTGTTGTTAACTTTATGCAGTATGCATTTTGGCTAACAACGGGAGGAATAATCATTGGCGCTTTTGTGGCATTTTTTGTAATGTACTTGTATCTCAGAACAAGGAAAATACTGTAAGTTGTTATGTTAGTCACTTATATTTCTCCTGGATGTTAAATAATTTGGACCATTATATGTATGTAGTTACATTACCTCAGCAATTATGACAACTGTTCCATCTTTCACAGATGAAGTGAAACCTGAGAAGCCTCCGCTCTTGACTGCATATAGGGGGAGCTCGAGTGTAGGGCATCAATTCTATTATTCCCCCGCGATTTCTGGTCGAGTCCTTATTCCTCTAGGAATGAGCTTTCAAGTTTCAATCACCAGTGACCAGAACAATAGACTATACTAAAACAATGAAGGAATTCCTTGTTTGGTCCAAAGGAAGCTAAATTGTTTGGAGAAGGTTGATGATCATCCTAAACTAGGTTGTTTGTGAAATTGCCCCTTTTGGATCTGCTATACTAGAGGGGCAGGATAATTGGACCAGTATAGTTACACTAAATGGGAAGATTGAAGGCTTGGATTGGAGGTAGTTGGTTCGATTCTGTACAGGGTTAAATAAATCTTTAGAGCATCATGATATCAAATATTTTTCTGCTGCCTGATATTTTGGCAGATGATTTTATTGAATAAACAGTTTATTTTGTTTTGGTGGCTAACCTCAAATGGCCCTTTTCAGTGTGTTGGCAGTCCAACTGTGTATTATTACTTGTAGATATTGTGGCATTGTGGGAACCTTAAATTGATAAAAGTTGAGATTTGATATTTAGACACCTGATCAAGGATTTGCTTACATTTCCCAGATGATATTTGCATTTGATTCTTGTTAATTGTAAATTGTGTGATAGATATTTTTTACTAAACGAAATCAGTTTGAGTTGCAAATACAAAATTTAACAGTTTGATTCACGTAATCTTAAACTACCTAAGTATAATAATGTTATATTATATTGTTTGGTTCAAATTATAAAATTATTTGGTAATATTATATTACTCTAAAAATACGATAGTAATATTTCTTATAATTTTATATTATCTTGAAATGTTCAAAGTTTGGCATTGTTTAATAATAATAATAATAATAATAATAAAAACATATATAAAACAAATATATGTTTATATAATCAAATATACATACATATGTGTATATTTATTATTTATTTATTTATTAATATTTATGCCTAACTATACACAATTATATATATATATATATATATATATATATATATATATATATATATATATATTCAGTTCAAATACGGTCAAAATTTTCAGTGTGGCTAGTGCAGATGCACCATTAAGTATGTAAAAATGCACCTATATATATGTGTGTGTGTGTGTGTGTGTGTGTGTGTGTGTGTGTGTGTGTGTGTGTGTGTGTGTGTGGGTACCTCCGCAGATGTTTAATTGTGAAGGAGAAACGATGTGAAAAATAAAATAGTAATTTGCGAAAAAAAATGATGTAATAATTTGAGAAGTGACTACCCAATGAAATGTAGTACATGTCATTAATAAATTTTGAATTAGTTAGAAAATAATTCAAAGTAGAATAGTGTTTTGAATTTATTAGTTCGGAGATAAATTTCGATGAAGAGTTTGGGTATGTGTAGGAGTTGAAATGGCTAACCAATGACATGTAGTACATGTCATTAATATTTTTTGGATTAGTTAGGAAATAATACAAAGTAGAAATGTTGTTTAAATTTATTAGTTCGGAAATAAATTTGGATGAAGAGTTTGGGTGTGTGTAGGAGTTGAAAATTAAGTTTAAGGTGTAAGGATTAAAAATGATAGTTGAAAACATTTCAAAATTGCTAAAATTATTCAATTTCAGCTCCACTGTAGTAATTTTCATAATTATCAGAGTCGTAATTTATGGGATAAACAAGAGTTGAATGTCTGTAGGATTCTCCTATTGAAATTCTGCTTCAAAATTTTTAATGTGTCTTGATTGAGAAACTAACTCGATTATTTCTTCAACCAAATTTTCTAATTTTTCTTCTTCAAAATCTATTTCCAATTGTTCTTTTAATTTGTCTAATACAAATTTTTCTTGGAATGTGAAAAATTTTAAATACTTGATAATTTTTTTTACCAAGTCTGGGTAGGAAAATTTTTTGAGTAAATAATAAATTTTTTCATTAAAATTTGAAATATTTATTGTATACTATATATATATATATATATATATACATATATATATATATATATATATATATATATATATATATATAGAGAGAGAGAGAGAGAGAGAGAGATAAATATTGCCTGGCCTAATTGCTTAGTTTTGAAAGACATTTTCATTGTTTCAAATGGTTATAAATTCATAATAATCGTACTGTATATATAAGATTACAACGGTCAACGGATAACACCTAGAATTTTGAACTATATACTTTTACATCTAAACATGAACCCTATGTGGGAAAACTAGCAGTCATTACCTGTGACCAAGCCAGTTATCTTACCAACTTGATTGGGTAGCCTCATAAACCCCACTACTTTTGTAAGGGGCAAAATGGGATGATACAGGGAAAAAAAAAAAAAAGCAAAACCTGAATAAGTTACAGTTTATGCTTTCTGTCTGGTTTCCTGTAGATTGAGAAGCCTTGAATTGTTATGGACTATGGAGTTCCATCAATGGCTGGCTATATTAATATTCCTCATTCTCACCTCCATTGCCTCTCTCTCATTCTTCTCCTCTTTCTCGGAACTTCCATCTTCTGTTGGTGTTAGCAAAGAAGTGGATGCAGAAGACAGAGGATGATGTTGGGGTCCTCCAGTTATCCATGGATGGTTGAGGCACTGTGCCGCTGTGGGTCTTTTCTCGGGCACAAAATCGAACAAGGGAACGAGGAAATCTGCCATGTCTCTTGCATCTTGCTCGCTGAAATCATACTTTTCCTTGAGCACCTTACTAAGAGGCCAGAACCGCAAGCGTTTTATGTGCCTCAAATCTCCGTATCTGTTGAAGAACTCCCGTGAATAGCGCCCACCTAAGGCAATCTGCATAAATACAGAAATTAGTATGCAGGAATGCATCAATAAAATGCATAGTGGATTCAGTTTTTCAATTTTGTTCGGGAAGAAAGTAAAAGGAGTAGCTAGTTCAATGTTAGCCAGCAATACTTTAAAAGAAGCTAACCTTGCGTGGCATCATTCCCAGAAGCTCCATCATTAACGCCAAGTGGTCCTGTGACACAGGGAAAGGGTATCAGTAAGCATCAGAGCAGAAAACAAATCCCAAGCACAATAACTAATACCTAATACGATTGGCGATTTGTAATCGAATTCATATATATATATATATATATATATACAAAGCTCAACCAGAAAAGTAAAAAGAAATGAAAATTCGACGCCAGTTTTAGGAAATGCATTTCTATGTTAGCCCAGTCTGCTTCCAGGAAACTTCATAATTTGAAAGTACTCTAAATATTGTTAGGAACATATATTAAAATCGTTAGTCCCCAAACAATTTGCTGCAGAAGATGATAGACAGCTAAGAAAGTTTTCAAAATGGAAATAAGAATTTTCTAAAGACGATTGTGTAAATTTTGTGGATTCCAACTATGATAAGGGAGGAATGCAGGGTAAAAAAATAAAATCACAGAACGGATATGGAGATGTTTGCTCTAGTAAAAGAAAAATTGAATAGAAAGTGAAACTATTGTACCTCGTCCCTGTCATAATTGTCACCACTATGAGGATCAAACAGTACGTCCCCGGTAGCCAGCTCGAAGCAAATGCAAGCAAGGGACCAGAGGTCTACTGGAGTTGAGTACTTAATGCCCAAAATAACCTCGGGGCATCTATATTGTCTCGTTTGAATATCACTTGTAAACTGTTTGTAAGTCCAACAAGCATTTCCAAAATCAACCAATTTGCATTTAAGGTCAACCTCAGCCGATAGCTTTTGCCTTACTGAGCGGCTGACTCTCTTATGTTTTTCAGTCTCTACGAGACTATCTGAGGCACCCTCTAGTTTACATGACTCATTTTTGTAGGATATGTTATCAGTTTGGCATTCAGCCGAGTCTCTATCTGCTTTTGCATCATGAAAAGAGTCTTCGGGACTATTAGCTTCATTATCTTGCTCAACTTCCTCCGGTGTGTCTTTGCCAGCGCATTTTTGAGCTGCCTGCTTAGCCTTTTTCCGAATTTTCTTCTTCTGGTTCCTGGTCAGATCAGTATTCGAAGTCTTGACACCACTTGAAGTCCCTGGATCCGGGACAATCTTAGTTCTACTAGATGGAAGAATGAGAGGAGCACCGGACTTTCTTGGATCTTTGCTTGGATCAATCGACGATAAAAGCAAGATATTTTCAGGCTTCAAGTCCGTGTGTATGATCGAGAGTTGGCGATGAAGATAATCCAGACCCACTAAAACATGGAAGCAAATTTTTTTAACCATGTGAAGAGGAACCCCTCGATAATCCGAATACTTAATAAGGGTCAAAAGATTATCACCCAAGTACTCGAAAACCATACAAACATGCTGTCCATTGGGGCCTGAATGCTTAAAGTGATCCAATAACTTAACCACACACTTTTCGTCTTCTGGATCTCCTTCTGCAATTTGCTTTAGTATTGCAATCTCATCCATTGCTGCTTCAGTATAGTGGTGAGCACTCTTTTGAATTTTTAGAGCCACAAATTTCTGCTCCCCACAAACCATAGGAAAGAAGAATTAGCCCAATGCCCATGATTCTCAATAAGTCTAAACTCAAAACAAAAGTGCCCTCCCAGGTTATCTCAATGGTTGAGATTTTTAGTATAAAAAAAAAAAAAAAAAAAAATCAAGGAGTCAATTTTCGATATGACATACTGTTTACAATATTTATAAAAATAGCACCGCCCTTTTTCCCTTTAGCTCCGGAGGGTAAAAATTGTTTGTTAAAGATACAAGTGTACTAAAGCATGCTGAAATGTATCAGAATTTAGAGCGAAAAGTGTAAAGAGAAATGGAATTTACGGAAGTTTGAATGTCCCAAGCGAGCCAGACAGTGGAGAAATGGCCCCAGCCAAGCTTGCTCTGAACTACATAACGTCCCTGCTTGAATGCGTCTCCAATTCGGACGGCGTGGTAGCCTCCGCTCCGGTAGTATTCAGTCCCCTCATCTTCCGACGTATAATCGCTCGTCTCACTCTCATCGCCGCCGTTTCTGTCGTCCACCGCCGCCATCGTCCTCCGTTTCAACAATTCTCCGCTCCGGCAACCTAAGCCGCGATAAGAATTCTAGAATGTAGTAGTAGAAACTAGAGAGTGTGAGGTAGAAATGTTGAATTAGGGTTTTTTATTTTTTTCTTCTCCCAAATTTTTAAATGATTTCAGGTGGCTACATGTGGCGCCACCTTGAATATTCATGTTCATTCTAAATCCCAATTTGTAAATAATTTTTTTTTTCCAAATATGATATTTTTAATGAGGAAATTTCAATTTTTGTCATATGATTATAGGGGTCTTGTTAATTTTAGTCCCTGACTTTTAAAAGTGTCAATTTAGTACCTTAATTATGTAATTTTTGTCAATTTTGGTCACTCCGGCCAAATTGCCGTCCAAATTCCGCCGAAAAATTTTAATAATTAAAATAATGGGGATATTTTGGTCGTTTCACGTCTCTTTTCTTCTTCTCCGGTGAGTATATCCCTTTCTCTCCTGTTTAGTACCTATAATCATATGATCAAATTTGAAATTTCTTCTATTTTTAAATTAATCACTACTATTTAGTATTTATGCGTTCAAATTTATTTTTATTTTTTAAATTGAAACTTAATTTTTCGTGTGAAAAATAAGGTTTTTGTTCTAAAACTGGACATATCTTTGTATAAATAGATATAATGATATCAATAAAGTAAAGAGAAAGAAGACAAGAGATATAGAGAGAATCATTAATTTTTTATTATTCATTCTTCAATCAAATATGATGTACGTAATTACAGTATAACAATAATTGCATAAATGAGAAAGAGGTATTATCATAATATAATTTATCTAGTAATGTTCTCATTAATATATCATACATTCATACTAATGTCTTGTAAAAAATCTCGCTAGAAAAATCTAATGAGAAAAAATAATCTAGTTGAGAAAAAGAGTATATGATGTATGTTTGTTCATGACTTCATGTTACGCTAAATGTCCAGTTAAAAAAATATTTAATACCCAATATAGTCCTCGACTATAGTGGTTTTACTTAATTTAGTCTTAAACGACTTTTTGTGCTCAATTTAGTTCTCGACTTTGATGGTTTTACACAATTTAGTCCTTTGTTAAAAATTCCATTAGTTGATTGTTAGAAATAGAGTCATAATGATAATTTCTCATCCTTCATCCCATTTGGGATGATTCCTTCTTCTTCCCCTTATTAAGATCCATGTAGAAATGCAAATCTTCGTACTCAAATCAACTTCAACCCTAAATAAATAAATACAGAGTAAATAAATATTTCGGTACTCAGATTTACATTTCTGAGTGGATCTTAATAAGGTCGGGGAAGAAGAATGAATCATCCCAAATGGGATGAAAGATGAGAAATTACCATTAGGACCCTATTTCTAATAGTCAACTAACGGAGTTTTTAACAAATGACTAAATTGTGTAAAACGATCAAAGTCGAGGACTAAATTGAGTACAAAAAGCCATTTAGGACTAAATTGAGGAAAACCACTATAGTCGAGGACTCTATTGGGTATTAACTCAGAAAATTATATCAAAACTCAACCAAATGAAAAAAGAGTACAACTATTGGCATTTACACTTGTTAACACTGAAATTTTGATAAATATTGATTATATATATATTTTTTAATATTAGTATATTTGAATATATTTTAGATAAGTTGAAATTATCTAATTTGTTTAATTAGATAATATCAAAAGAGTTTGAGCTTATCAAAACTCTTATATCTTACGGCTATAAATATGATCTCTCATTTCTATGTGTTCATCCAATATGAAATAATCATGTAAACATCCTTAAAATATTATTCAGAGATCACATTAAAAATGTGATCCTGAAAGCAAAAGCCCCTCTTCCATGATGATCATACCAAATGTTAATGCAAATCTTGGTATATACCCACTTGCTATACACAACAGGATTCAAACCGAAGACCTCTTTATAACAAACACTATTCGAGTATTTGCCAATATTTTCTTCCATTTTTTCATTTGGAGAAGTTCAATTAAGAGTTCTCCAAAATTATACATAAAGTTGGAGAATAGAAAGGAGTTAGGCAATTGGAGAAATAATTTTAGTAAACAAGTTTTTCATTTTCCATTCTTCAACCTCTCTAATTCTCTGTTTTTTCATAAAACCCTCCATTTTTTCATTTTGGTAAACGACCCCTAAAGTTGTTAAATCGATAGGCTCTCTTCAGGCATCCGAGGCATGTAGCTTAGGGCGCCTAGGTTCCCGCATATTTTTTAATTTTTTTAAAAAAATTTAGTTAAAGTTTTTAAATTTTTAAGAGTTGATAATTATAAACTATTTAATACTTTAATAGTTAATACTAAAATATTAAATATTAACTTAAAAAACATCTAGATTTTAAACAATTTAGGGTTATTTCACTCAAAACAATATTGTTTTGAGAGAAATAACCTTTTTTAAAGAGAGAGAGAGAGAGAGAGAGAGAGAGAGAGAGAGAGAGAGAGAGAGAGAGGGAGGGAGAGGGGGAGAGAGAGGATTAGCTAATCGATGCTTAGGCGGGCGGGCGGTGCCTAGCACCTAAGCGGGATTTTTGCAACACTGGGTAGAATTGAAATTAATTATGTTAAACATGGAACTAATGATGCTGAAATTTATTACAAAAAAAAAAAAAAAAATGATGCTGAAAGCCTGAAATTGTTCTAAATTTGACTTTCCCCCCAAATGAAGTAACTAATGCAGTAGAACTAAGAATTGAACCTTTAGAGGGTGTAATAACCCACTGCACCCTGTACTTGGTTTATATGAATATAATTTACAAGGGGGCAGCATGTAAGTGAAGATGAAGCTTTTGAAGAAAATACTGTTGATGATGGGTTTATCCATGAAAGTGGAGAAGAAGGTGAGCACATGTATGCTGATGTTGAATTTCTTTCTTCTGATGATGAAGAATTAAGACATATTAGGCAACTTAATAAAGACCAGAAGAAAAGTAATGAAGTTGAAGAAGAACCTGTTGGAATTTTTAGTTAAATGGTATTTTTGAGTGGCTATTTTGTGGTATAAATATATGTGGGTTCACTTTTGATTTAGGTCGGGTTAAAGTGGATTTGCACTCTTCGTAGTGAGATGAAGAATTTGATATATTGTATGTTCAAAATGGGTAATAGGTGAATGAGAAATTGATTATCAAAGTAAACATATGAGAGAAGTCAAAATAGTGCTTATTTGGTAGCACTCACGAGTGGATAATTAAGCATTTGATATGAAAGGTGGTTGATTAGCATTTGTTAAAAACTTTCAAAGTTTTAATGCTAATTGCGTACAACACTCACTATTAGGACTAGTATTAGGACTCTATGTATTTGAGTCATATTATAACTCCTTATCCTAATCTCCATATGATTCTCTCTTGTATATATTCCCTCAGTTTGTACAGTTGTAATTACTGTTCATCTAATACAGTTTATACAGTTCTCATCTGGTATCAATAGTCTCAGGTTCCTTTCCTATTTTCTCTCAATGGAACCCCAAGGCAGTGATGTTGACGGATCTGCTAACTCCTCTGAGCGGACCGTTTCTGATGCTGTCAATTCGCATTCTACTGCTCATCACTTTATCAGTATTAAGCTTACCCACAAAAATTTCTTGTTTTGGAGGACACAAGTAGTTCCCTTTTTAGAGGCACACGGGCTCATGGGGTTTATTGATGGAACTAACCCATGCCCGCCGGCCTTCCTGTCGGTTGTCGCCGACAGTGAACCACAACCGAACCCGCCCCATGCCGTGTGGTATAGCTGCGACAAAGCATTGATGTCAATGTTGATTTCATCACACTTCGAAGAGGTCATGCACTTCGCCGTTGGACGTCGTACGTCGCGGGAAGTTTGGGTGTCCATAGAGCAATCTCTAGCTTCTTCGTCTCGTGCTCGGTCACTTAATCTCTTCGGTCAGCTTCAGTCTCTCAGGCATTGTGACTCCTCTATTGCTGATTATATGTCTCTCAGGCAGGATGACTCCTCTATTGGGTAGCCTGTACCCGCGGGTGGAACCGCGGGTAGAGGCATACCCGCTGGTACGTGTGGTGAGGTTGGCGGGGATTTGTTCCCCGTGATTCTTTTGACTAGGTATTTGGTCTTTTGACTTCCCGATGTTCTTTTGTGGAACTATTTGAGTGTCTTCTTGATGTTTCGTATGTCTAGAACTATGTGGTAGGAATCCATGTAGGTTTTGGTGTCGTGAATCGTGCTAAGTGTTCAACATTGTGTTTCGTTGAACCGTGATGAGTCTTGTGTGTTATTCGGAACTACCTTTGGTTTACCCGTTTGATAAACATGCTAGTTCGGTGTTTAAATGCTAGCGTGTGCATTGTTTGTACCTTCTGATTGGTTGATGATAACTTGTGTTATTCATCGTTGTTGTTGTTGGACTGTGTTCCATTCCTTGATTGAGTATGGTTTCATACCTTCGTTGTGATCCGTTGATTGATTCCTGTTGTGGTGTGATGTGTGCGTGGCTTTACCTGGATTGCACGATTAGTGGTATGGTACACTAGTCACCAAGGTATTGCAGCGGTCCTCGTGGTGGCCGTGACGCGATTATGGAGTTTGTGGCCTTTGTGTAAGGTTCACGTGTTTATTTATGGGATAACATGTGTTATCCAGGGCATGTGTTGCCGTGTGTGATCGGTACCCTCGTGTACTATGAAATCGATGGTTTTGTTGAAGGGACTGTTAGAGGGGGAACGACGGTTCCCGGGGGAATAAGGTTGGACTTGGTGTACAGGGGTCCTGGAGGTAAAGGTTGGAACTAGATATAAGGTTGGGGGTAGCCATAAGGTTGGAACCGGGCATAAGGAATGTATATCAACTCGTGATGGGTGATGTCACGAGGGCTTGTGTAGCCGTTGTTGTGAGTTCTCTTCTTGTGACGTGTGTAGTCACAAGGGCATGTGTTTCCATCGGTCTTGTCTTTATCCTTTGTGTTGTGGTTATCCTTTGTGGTTTTGGGATGTGTTCCCGTATCCTTGTTGAGAGTGTTGAGTCTTGTGTTGACTATTGCTCTTGGTTTTGTACTTATATACTTATGTATTCCGTTTCGAAAATGGCTTTACAACTTATATCTTATCTATGTATGTTATTTCACATGTATTGGTGGGTTACCAGCATTATTCGCTGACCGGGCGTCGTCCCATGTTTTATTGTGTTTTTTCAGGTGATGTCTAG